TTTCCTTTTCATGATGCTAATAGTATTCAACTGTGGAAGTTCCACACTAGAGACTGACATCAAGTGACAATCTTCCAGGAATATATCATAAAATATAGAAATTTTAAAGTTAAATATTTCTCTGAAAGATGACACAGTATATTTTGAATTCTGTACATAAGTTTATAATATTTTCCCATTAAAATGTGTTATGCAAATATTTTAAAAAAATAAACATATTTATTCATTTTCCTTCAGTCATGGTTAATTGCTCAATTGCAGCTATAACAGACTAAGCAACTATTTGAATATAATCATTTCTTTTCTTTTTTAAACATCTAAGTGTGCTAGAGGAGGAATTCGAAATTAGGAATAAATACTAAAAAGGGAATATGATTATAAACTGAGGACATAAGGTCTGTAAGGAAGAAATAAAGTAGTGTTATTACTGCTAGGGTTTTGGATCATGTGGAGATTAAGAAACACAGAGATGCCTACCAGGCAGAAGACAACCACAGGCTGTGGAGAGAAGCTGAAGACTCGAAGGTGGTTAGGGACAGGCGGATATGAATGGCCTACATTGCTACCTGGGGTCATGTGATATCTTGTCCTGTCATGGTCCATGGTACCATCAAAGGTCATACAGATGCTTGTGGGCTGGACCCCACTTGAGACCATGCTGATGTCTGAGGGCCAAGCTGCTGCTGGGGCCATACTAATCTGAGTGGCCTGAGCTCCCACCTGAGGCCATGGTGACCTGCATTACCAAAAGGGGCCATTTAAGATAGGTGGTCTGGGCACTGGAGATCTGCTCCCTCTTCTTACAGGCTCCCTCAGCAATGGAGCTGCCCAGAAGAGCTGGCATCAGTATCCTGGGTGCAAGAGAGTTGACACTGTTCTTTGAAGGTCCTGGGAAGACTTAATCTCTTCTCACTGGTGGCCTCAGGGAGAGGGTCTGGCCCTGTCCCTCACCTGGGATGGCTGGCTGGCACTGATGCATGGGTGTGTAGGAGCTGACTCTGGCCCTTGCCTGGAAAGGGGGAGTCCTAATGGAGGCCTGGAGTGACTGGCTCAGCTGCTGCCCAGGCCCAAATCCAGGGCTTTTAGTTGGCCCACCCCAAAAATCTACCCCATCTACTCTATGACTTGCTGGAGCATGTAAATAATTCCAGTCCTATGGAACTATTGCCACAGGATCACCATACACTCAGTGTAACAGTAGGATATCTGACAGAAGTTTTGGTGAGGATCCAGTGTTGAAGGTGTGCTAGAAGTCAGAGGCCTTGAACCAGTCATTATCGTGGACATTTGTAATAAAACTGGGCAAATGGTTATACTGTGTGCCACCTGCAACTCTCAATGTCACTATGACAAATAAACATAGGATGCAGAGGTGGGAGAGACATAGGAGTGAAGTGGTTTCTTTTTTTTCTTTTCTCAACATGTACAAGAATGAAAATAAACCCATATCTATCACCATGCACAAAACTCAAGTCCAAATGGATCAAAGACCTTAACATAAAGCCAGCTACACTGAACCTTATATAAGAGAAAGTGGGAAACAGACATGAATGAATTGGCACAGGAGACCACTTCGTAAATATAACTACAGCAACACAGACACTGAGAGAAACAATTAATAAATGGGACCTCCTGAAACTGAAAAGCTTCTGTAAAGCAAAGGACATGGTCAACAAAACAAAATGACAGCCTACAGAGTGGGAAAAAAATCTTCACTAACTCCACATCAGACAGAGGTCTGATCTCCAAAACATACAAGAAACTCAAAAAATTGGTCATCAAAAGAACAAATAATCCAATAAAAAATGGAGTGCAGACCTAAACAGACAACTTTCAACAGAGGAATATGAAATGACTGAAAGATACTTAAGCAAATGTTCAACATCCTTAGTCATCAGAGCAATGCAAATCAAAGCAACTCTGAGATTCCATCTCATTCCTGTAAGAATGGTCAAGATCCAAACCACTGATGACAACTTATGCTGGAGAGGTTGTGGGGAAAAGGGAACACTTCTACATTTTTGATGGGAATGCAGGCTGGATCCCAGGCTTTTCCCCTACTCCCTGAGGCACAAAATGCAAGATGCAATGACTGTTTTTGCCTACCAGCCAAGCTTCCTGCTAGCTCCTGTGCCCATTCTACTAGCCTGGTTGATTTAGCCCTGAGCCTCGTTTTATCTTTGATATGGTAATTTCCCACCTGTAAACAAGGGTTCCCACAGTGCTTATACCTATCCTAACTGTCTGTCACTGCACTCTTGCTAGCACCCCCTGCCTGCGGAGGAATTCCTCAGGGGTGCTAGGCTGGTTGCGCTGTTTTCTCACACCTAGCTGGGAGGGCGGTTGCTCTTCTGGGGAAAAGAGTATTTAACCTGGCAGAAACTAAATAAATTTGGCATTTACCTTTTGGCAAATGACCCAGATCTCTCTCTCTCTCTCTCTCTCTGTGTCTCTGTTTAACCCCTGGACCCTTGCCCCAAGCTCGTGGCGAGGTAAGGAAGGCGCGCAATCCGTGCCGGGAGGAGGGAAGCGCAGATTCGGGTGGAACCCACAAGTACAGCCCCTTTGGATGTCAATGTGGTGATTTCTCAGAAAATTAGGAAACAACCTTCCTCAAGACCCAGTAATACCACTTTTGGGTATATATCCAAAGGATGCTCAATCATGCCACAAGGACATGTGCTCAACTATGTTCATAGCAGCATTGTTTGTCATAGCCAGAACCTGGAAACAACCTAAATGCCCCTCCACCAAAGAATGGATAAGGAAAATGTGGTACATTTACACAATGGAGTACTACACAGCAGAAAAAATGACATCTTGAATTTTGCAAGAAAATGGATTGGAGTTAGATCATTTTCAGTGAGGTTACCCAGACTCAGAAAGAGAATTATCACATGTACTCACTCATAGGTGGTTTTTAAACATAAAGCAAAGAAAACCAGCCTACAAACCACAATCCCAGAGAACCTAGACAACAATGATCTAATCTTCGTGGGAAGTAGAAAAAGACAAGATCACCTGACTAAATTGGGGGAGGGGAGAGGTAGAGAGAGGAGCAGATAAAAATGTAGAGCTCAATAAAAATCAATTAAAAAAACAAGCATGATCTCACAAGATACAGAAAGCACAGGATAATTCCCATTTGTACTCAAGATTCTACCCTGAAAACAAACAAACTAAAACTCTGTGTACAAGAGTAAAGCTGGGTGTGGATACTCAAACCTGGAATCCCAGCATTTGGGAGGCACAGGCAGAGTTCAAGGCCAGCCTGCCCCACGTAGAAAGCTTCAGGTCAATATGGGCTACAGAGTGAGACCTTGTTTCAAAGAAAAAGAGGAGTAGAAGAAAAATATTCTAAATAAGATAAAAGCAAATCTGTACAGTTGCTTCATTAAATATTATATTGAATAGTAAAGTGTTGAAACATAGAAAACAAATGAAAAATGCTTACTATTCTTCCTCCTGTACACCACAGTACAAGGAAATTATAAGTTGTGAAACAAAATTTAAAAAAAAACACGTGTGAAGAAATAAATGTCATTATTCAAGCTTTTTTCCTTTTATATGCGGGAGACTACAGGAGTGGAAAGCTGACATGGGAATACTGGGAGGTGGATGGGATTTGGGGATTGATATGAGATTCCCAAAAGGTCAATAAAAGAATTATGTGGGGAACAAAGAAACACATGGATAGAAGACACTTGAAAAAGTAATGTTAAAAGCTAGAAGTGCTGTGAAAAGGACTATGAATTTAGAATTTCAGCTTCATCGCAGCGGCAGGTGTGCTCATTACTTTTAAGTATGGTCACACTGACAGCTGCTATATTTTATGTATTCATATTCTTATAACCTATCATCCTCTCAGCTTCAGCCTATGTCAGAAGAGGAGAGGCATAGAAGACATAGTGATTCTTAGCAGAAGATGGAAGATGGACTTAGTGCAGACAGATACATCCTCCATGTAGATGCCCAAATCTGTGATGGGGATAGGAGAGTAAAATACACTGCACAGTGCGAAAAAGGAATGAGAGTAGGTGTGATGCAAAGTCAGTCTTTACTATAGGAAAGTAGGTGTGACACAAAGTTAGTCTTCACTGTAAGAAACATGAAGGTGGGGCAGGCTGTGGTAATCTGGTGGTTGGATACAGCCTGGTATTTTGAGGAAGAGAGAAAAGAGAAATAACCTCGAAATACCATCAGAGTCCTAAAAGTGCACCCCCTTTACTTTAAAATACATGAGCTGAGAGGAAAGGTGTACATTCTTATAGGAGATGTACAATCTTATAGGAGAACTGGCAGGTTTCTATTAGAGCCAACACAGGAAATGTTAAGGGGAGAAGATACCGATGAAGCAATGTTGGTTGTTGATTGTCACTGACTTGAGTTCCTGTGGCTAAATGATTGGGAGTTAGATTTTCACCAGTGGAAATCAGCTATGTGCTGCAGCCTGTCTGACTCCTGTGGGGAAAAAAGGTAGATAGATAGATAGATAGATAGATAGATAGATAGATAGATAGATGATAGATAGATAGATAGATTATATAGACAGACAGACAGATTAGATAGATAGACAGACAGACAGACAGATTAGATAGACAGACAGAGACAGAAACAGAGAGAGGCAGACATGGAAAAAGTTTGGAATTTTGGTTTCTTTTCATTCCTCTAATGAAGGTAATTTCTTTCTTTTTTGTTCTCTCATACATTACATTCTACCTGCAGTTTCCTCTCTCTCCACTCCCCCAGTCTCTCCCAATACCTCTTCTCTCCCCCAGATCCACTTCTCCATTTTTTCTTAAAAATAAAAGAGCAGGCCTCCCAGGGATATTAGCCGAACATGGCATAACAAGTAACAGTAAGATTAGGCACAAACCCTCATATCAAAGCTCATAGTTTGATGAAGCAAACTAACAGGAGGAAAAGGGTCCCAAGAGCATGTAAAAGAGTCAAAGACACCCACAACTCCCACTCTTAGGAGTCCCACAAGAACACCAAACTACATAATCACAACTTTATATGCAGAGGACATAGGTCAGACCCATTCTGGCTCCATGGTTGCTGCTTCAGTTTCTGAGCCTCACTTAGTTGATTCTGTGGTCCATGATATGGTGTCTTAGACCCCTCTGCCTCCTACAATCCCTTTTCTTCTTTCTCCACAGCATCTGTTCCCATCAGTTGCTAGATGAAATCTCTGATGACAATTGGGCTAGGCATTGTTCTGTAAGTAGAGAACAATATCATTAGGTATTATTTCATTGACATTTTTGGCCAGTTGTGTTTGTTCTACCCTGGTCTCTGGACTCTCCTGCCTCTGGTTCATGATCCTCCAGGCACTGTCCAGAGTGGGCTTTCTCCCATGGCATGGGCCTCAAGTTGAACCAGTCATTGGTTGGACACTCCAAGTTCTGTGCCACCATTACCCCAGCACAACTTGCAAACAAGACAGCTTGTAGGTTGTAGCTTTTGTGGCTGAGTTGGTATTCCAGTCCCACAGCTATGAGCCTTACCTGGTTATAGAGGATGGCCAATTTAGGATTTGAATCCCCCATTACTAGGAGATTTCATTAAGATCACTCTCACAGGGAATTTCCACTGCACTAGATTTCTGCACTGCCCTTCAAATGCCCCTCAGTTCCATTCATCTCTCCCATTACTCGCTCCCACTGTCCCTTTCATTCCTAGCCTGATCCCTCCTTTTCCTGCCCCCAAGAAGGGAGTTTCAACAGGTCTGTTCTGATTACTTTTGTGGGTCCTTTATAGAACCAGTACATAATAAAAGATACTTTGGTCTATCCACCATATCAACACAAGCTCTTGCTACTATTCTCTGCCTCCTGGGCTCTCATTTGTTGATCTTTAAAAATTAACTACCTCTTGATGGGAGGATTACATAATTTCTGTTAAGCTCCAGATGAATGGAGTTCAACCCACACTTGCTGTGGTCAGAAGTGCCTATTGCACAATTCAGGAGGACAGATTATGTGGGCAGATACATGGGAGGTTAAGACATGCCCAATTTCTTCCCTTCAAAATTCTTTCCTTGGATTATTTGTGTGTGTGTGTGTGTGTGTACATATGAGTGTCTATGCATATGATTGTGTTTGTGTGTGTAGAAATGTGTATTCATATATCACAGCACACACATGGCGGTCAGAGGACAACTTTCAGGAGTCAGATCTCTCCTCTTATGGTAGATTCTGGTGATTGAACTCAGATCCATAAACTGTCAGCTGTTACCCCGATGGATGGAGTAAGCATTTTAACTGAGGCTCCTTCCAAATCCCTTCTAACTTCAGCTCTTCTTGGAGAACTCTTTATCTATCATTCTATCAATGGTCAAATAATTTGCTGCTCTCAGAAATCAGTAGTTTATCTTCCAAGGCAATTTGTCTTAAGAAATAGTCACGTAGTCTTAAATAGTGGGTGGAGATAGGGATCAGGATAATTGATGTCCCTGGTATATCAGGAATTCTGAAATAGAAACCCAGAGATAAGAATATGCAAAGTGCAAAGCCAGTTTAAAAACATTAAAAACCTAGTAATGAAAGAACATGTATAATTCCTGAATAATGAAAAATATACAAATTAGTACCAGGAGCTTTATTATTTTTCAGACAATCAGTTACACTCATTGATGACAATGACTGCCATGAAATTGGTGCAAGCAAGTAAGGTAATAGAAATGTTGGTACCAGGGACTGGGGTATTATTGTGATAGTTCTGACCATGCATTTGTTTGAAGGAATATGGACCTTGGGACTGTGAATTAGAAAAGCAGCTGAACACTTTAAATGCTACTTAATGGGTAATACTAAGAATATGAATATGATTTGTTGAACTGTTGCTTAAGAGTTTCAGAGGGGAAGAACATTAGTATGTGGCCTAGAGATTGGTCTTGTGATATTTTAGTGAAGAAAGTGGCTGCTTTTTGCCCTTGTCCAAAGAGTCTGCTCAAGGCTAAAATGAAGAGTTTTGGATTAAGTCCATTGGCAGAAGAAATCTTAAAACAGTCTAATATAGACTCTGCCATGTGGTTACCAGTGTTCATGCTTTTAAAGATTTATAATGGAAAGGAGCAAGCTGAGCAGGGAAAATTTCAAATTGTAAATTTTGAGGAGAGAAAGAGAACCAGGAAGTGAATAAACAGTTAAACAAGGAGATAAACAGATTAGAAATGGAATATAGGGAGTGTTGATCTCACAGCAAGATTAAACCCAACTAAGATTCTAACTTTGGAAAAGGAAATAAAGAAAAGATTAGAGCTGGGTGTGATGGGACACACCTTTATTCCCAGTACTGGGAAGGCAGAGACTGGTGGATCTCTGAGTTTGAGGCCAGTTTGGTCTAGAGATCGAGTTTCAGGACAGACAAGCTTAGACAATGATAGAAAGAAAGCTGATGAAGATATAATTGAAGGATGGAGCCATATTCCAGCCCAGCAAGCAACATAACTTGGCAGTTTCGACCACATGGTTCTGGCTTTAGAGTTAAGGATAAAAGAAACAGGTTATGGAATTTGCCCTTGCACCTAAAGAAAGCAACTGAGGCCAGGCATGTGTCAGTGGTGTCCCTAAATGGAGGCCTAGTAGAGAGGCCATTGCATGAAGCTGTGAAGTTGAAGCCTAGATTGCCTTGGAGACCCCATGATGTTCAAGATGCCAGAGTCATGGGATACCTGCTGAAGAGAGCTGCTAACGGAGTGGAACCAGCCTCAAGAGAAGGGTGTTGTAATCAACAAAGCTGAAGAGAGTTGGAGAAATCTGAAGAGCATTTTGACATCAGACATGGAGATGCAGAGTTTTGTAGTTTGCTCAGCTGGTTTTTGGTCATGCTTGGTCCAGTATTTTCTTACTATGCTGTCTTCCCTATGTTTTGGAATGGTAATGTGCCATCATATGTTGAAAGTATGTGAACTGCCTTTTGATTTTGTTTTTTTGTGTGATTACAGTTAAGAGATTGCATGAATCTCAAAAGAAACTCTGGATTTAAAATATTGTTGAGACTGTGAAACACTATGTGGACTTTTGAAATTGAGCTAAATGAGCTTTGCATTATGATATTGTTATAAGCTAATGCGTGCTGGGAGTGGAATGTGATAGTTTGAATGTAACTGGCCCCCATAATCGCATAGGGAGCAACACTAATATGAGGTGAGGCTTTGTTGGAGTGGGTATAGCCTTGTTGGAGGAAGTGCACACTGTGGGGGCAGGCTTTTTTGAGGTTTCCTATGCTCAGAATACTGCCCAGTGTTTGGGTCAACTTCCGTTGCCTACAAGATTAATCACTCTCGGCTCCAGTACCACATTTGCCTATACACTGCCATGCTCCCTGCCATGCTGATAATGGACCGAACCTCTGAAACTGTGAGTGAGTCACCCCAATTAAATGTTTTTCTTTAAAGAATTGTCATGTTCATGGTGTCTCTTCACAGTAATTCTTCACAGAAATTCTGAGACAAAATGTTGGAAGGAATTTTGAATTTCTGTGGTTTATGGATGATAATGTTTTGAGACTGCTGATAATATCTATGGAGACAAAAGTGGTTCTTTTATGTAGTAAAAGTGGTCCTTTTTCAAATTTTTTCCAAATCAAAAAAGCTCTGACCAGACTTTTCTGATACTTATGAAGAGTACTCTAGAATTTCGAGGTATTTCGTGTTATGTAGAATCCTTTATTGGGTGGTTGTATGCCCAACTATGGTTTTTACCTCATAATTTCAGTATAAAGACAGGGTTAGTCTTTAGGATATGTTCTTCTGGAGAGATAAAGAAGTTTTCATCTAGAAACTTCTTGACTGAAAGATATGATAGATCAGAAAATGAAGTGCTTTTAGTACTTGTGTCTTCTGCCCACTTCAGTGAGTAGATGGGACACCTGGGTCCGCTACAGCCAGCTTGGCATCCTGAAGACCACAGAGGAAGCTCCCAGAGCCCTAATGCTGACAAGACACTGAAAAATCTAAAGCAATCTCTAAATCTCTGTAAAATTCATAATATCTTTTTTGAGTATATGGCACTTTTAGTTATGATTGAGAGTATCCTAAGATACATGGTAAGTGTTATCACTGTGAACATTATTGGTAATAACATGGTAATATAAAGAAGTAAAATGGATCCATTCATCTGTTGAAGGACACTTTGGTTGTTTCTATTTCTGGCTACTGTGAATATGGGGGCTAGAAATATTGCCGAGCAAGTTTCTGTGGAGTAGGTTGTCTTTTGAGTATAAACCCAGGAATGGTATATCTGGGTCATATGGGAGATTTATTTTTAGTTTTGTGAGTACTATCCCTACCGACTTCCTGAGTGACGGCACCAGTTTCCATGCCAACCACCAGTCAACATGTCGGAGTCCTTGTTCTCCACAACCTCACTGACCAGCATCTCTTTTAAGTTATTTTGCTGATCTTTGTTTTAACTTGCCTTTCCCTGATTGCTAAGGATAATGAACTTAGACATTTTTTATATCTTACATTGAGAATTTAATTGCTCATTTGTTTTCTTAATTCCATGTTGCGGTTGTGTGTTTTGTTTTTGAGGCAGGGTCTCTCTCTATAGCCCTGGCTGTCTTGGAATTGCTTTATAGACCAAGCTAGACTCAAACTCACAGAGATCCACCTGTCTCTGCCTCCTAAGTGCTAAGATTAAAGGTGTATGCTACCACTTTTAGTTTCATTTTATGAGTTCTTTGTATATTCTGAATAATTAATCCCTTGTCAGATGTATATTTGGAAAGATTATTTCCCATTCTGTGAGTTTCTTCTTAAACTGATTTCTTAGCTTTTCAGAAACTTTTTCATTTTCTGAAATTCCAGTTGTCTTGTTGGCCTCAATTCGTTGGTAACTAGAGTCCTATTCAGAAAGTCCTTTCCAAACTGTGTATTTTATCAGGTACTGATCATGTTTTATTCCAGCAGTTTTGGTGCTTTAGGTTTAAAATTGATGTATGTAATCCACTGTCATCACCTATACAAAATACAGGTGATTATATGCAGGTTTAACTTAATTTGTCTGTGAGTGGATATCCAGTTTTTCCAGCATCATTTGTTCAAGATGCTTTTTCCTTCACATTTGGTTTTTGCATCTTTGTCAAATATCAGATGGCAGTAATTATGAGCACTCATGTTTATGGTCTTCTACTTTACCATTGGTCTACATTTCTGTTTTTGTGCCAGTACCGCGTTGCTTTTATACTTTTGCTCTATAATATATTTTGATG